TAACCCTAACCCTAACCCTAACCCTAACCCTAAAATAGATTTATTTTTTTATATTAAGGTTATGCTTACCCTCACCCACATCCGTAGCTTCATTACGCACGGGCTGATTTTCAAACACTTTTAATGGCGAAGCCAGCAACCTAATATATAGAAACACCTAGCATTTAACAAAAACTTATAGGTCTTGTACAAGAGAATAGTAGAAATCTACTATACACTATCTATATATGCCCTTGTACTTATACTCTTAGACTTAGGTCTGTAACAGAGCTTACTCGAGTCTAGTTCGGCGCCGAGCAAGATCCCTTCCTATGAGGAAGTGTGTCGAGCGTTACACCCAAGTTCTAGCTATACGAGAATTCAAGTCGATCGCCTCCACTAATTTTAACTCCTTCTTCAGTTGCCTTTCCAAGTCCATTAACAGCTTCCGCGAAAATATCTATGTCTAGGGAAAGGTTCTTGACATAGGCTGTAATCGACTCCACAGCGAGGTTTGTAACTTGGATAGTCCAGGTTTCCGCAGTTTGTTGAACAAGCTTGAAGGAGACTACTCCAAAAGCATAGGTAGCAGATGCTAGTCTGCTAGGAACAGTGAAAGTCATACTGTTAACCCGCTTTGTAAGTGAGCTATACATTCTTAGTAAACAAAACTATGCGTAAGGGTGTATAGAACTAACTGGTGATCTTCATCTTTAATAAGGTCCGTTAATCCAGCGTCAGTACGTTTCGAAATAGGCACAGCAGGGACGTTGTTTGCAGGCATGCGTTTGACCATAGAGAGAGCTTGGGCGTTTTCCTCAGGGACAGGGGTTGCAGCAGCGAATGCTAGAATAGAAAGGATAGTAGAGGCTTTGAGGAACTGCATATTGTTGGTTGGCAATAATAAGTATTTGTAGAGTAAGGCAAGTGAGCGATATTGATAATAGTATCATAATGTCTAAAGGTCGAGATATTTATAGGAGGTCCTTCTATTGTCTCTACGAACTCTTCACAGATATTCTACTCCACGCTAACAATTTCTTTGCGGTAAGATCCGAACCCCTGTTCTATTTTACTGCTGACTCTTTTTATTGGATATTGTCAGCTTACATAGATAGAGCTAATTAAAGTGAGATACTATGTGCCGAAAAACTCTATGTACCGAAAACGACTAATTAGATGCTGACGTTTAGAAGGAAGTCCATAATCCTTGCGATATAATTAGTCGTTTTCGGAACATAGAGTTTATCAGCCCGCAGTATCTAACATTCTAGAGCAATCTAATTAGTTCCCTCACACGGTGCTGTTATACCTCAGACTTAATTATCTAAGCGCCGTTGAGTCTGGTTTGGATAGTTTCTACAAACTAACTATCTAGGAGTTGTAAAGATCCTAGAAGGTCAAGGATCGCTTGCTCGCACGGCTAAATAATAGTCTAATATGGCCGAGGTAATAGAGTTGTAACAGGCCCTTCTAGTGTCCCTACGGCCGTAACGATATGGCTCCCTTCACGCTAAGTTACTGTTACGAACCTTAGAAGACGGGGCGATAGGACAATTCAAGGACAACGAGCGGCACCGCTGTCTAGTCTGATCCGGCTGATCCGGCTGATTAGATGGCGCAGTACCTACCAATTTATATACTCATAATATCTTTTTATAATAAATATATACATGTCTATTAGATTTAAAGATCTATTCCTGTCCTGCACACTTCTATAAACCTTGAAGTAAACAATTTTAATAATTTAGATCTAATAGTATAGTTAGTTTGTGTTATTACACCTATGCATCTCTTTAAGATATCCGTACTCGCACAGACAATTTCTTTGCGAAAAGGTGTGAACAGCTGTCTTATTTTAGTGCTGACTGTTATGATTTGATATTGTCAGCTTAGAGAGAGAGCTAGCTAGTCTATATAGAGCGCGGAAAGGCGTGTCTCTTCTCCTAGTAGAGCTAGCTCAAACTAGCGTATATCGTGTTTAATCTACTCCGCACGGCTAAACAATTGTCTGACATGGACAAGATAGAGATTCAATAGCGTGAGTAATTAAGAGTGGATAATTGTTATCGGAACTTACCACGGGCACGGGCTGTTACCTATCTGTGCGTACGCCTCTAGCAGGTATCTTACGGCAATACTGTGACAAAGGTATATATAAACCCTTCTGCTACATTTATTTTCTTTTTATCTATTGTTCAAATAATCTACAGTTTACAATCTACTTACATCATCTTACTATAAGTTCAACTCACTATGGTTTTTCTCTCTATAGCTAAGCTAGCAACTGCTGTAACAATGTAAGTTCAATATCCTAAGACTCGTTGGACTTAGTTACTAATCGTAGCTAGTTTGCTACAGGTTGCTCCTGCAGCTGCGAATTGCGCGTACTATTGCGGTCCTGACTACGACCCTAGTAATAATTATATCACGGAAACCAAATCTTGCTGCCAGGGGCTAGGTCTTGATGAGAATGCATATGGCGAAGTAGACTCCACTTAGTAATCCTTATATAACTATTCTAACTATATTATAGTGTTCAATCCCGGCAGGCGCTGATGGTGTTCGGGGGGAGTTTCTTACATGCTGCGAAGGAAACCAATTGGACATCTGTTGGCCTAATGGCGCAGCCAACTATGGATGTGGTGAGGAATTCCCAGTAGAGTGCCCGTAACAAGCTTGTGTTAGAGAGTAATAAGAGAAGAGTAAAAGAGATGTTAGCAAAAGGGAGAGTTTATGGATAAGGTGCTTAGAGAGCGCGAGAGGAGTTTGCATTAAGTAGAGTATCGTAGAAGTACTAATTATAAGAAAAAGACGAAGTCACAAACAGTGCAATCCTAGACGTGGTGACCTTACCTCCAAAACGAATCCGATTCTTCTTGCCTATGCCGTTACACACACGGGCTTG